AATCAAATGATGCTTCCAAAGATAAGATTGAGAATGATTAAGAAGTTATAGATTTTCTTAAAAAGACCACTATTTAAGACTAATATTTATCATTCTTTGAAATTTCATTTAATTCCTTAAAAACTTTTAAACAAGAAGAGTAAGATCTGAAATAAAAGGGAAAGTTAGAAAAATTGTAATAATCTGAGGTTGAAACTTAATCTTAATCCCTTTTGATATTTTAAAAGTGGTATAAATAATTTTAAGATAACTAAGCAAAGTTGGAAAAATTAATGAAGGTTGATGAAATTGAAAAAAAATTAACCTAAATTGAATAAGAAAAATCACAAATATTAATAGAAGATAAAGAGAATAAACAGAAGATATCAGATTTAGAAGTGGAAATATAAGAATAGTACAAATCATTTATATCATCATAAAAAGAATATTAGGATATAGATTAAGCATTAATTAAAAAAAATAACCTTGAAGAATAGATGTCAGAGTTAAAATAAGTGTATTCAATTATAACAACCAGCTGGCAATAAGGAGAGTCAAAATTATTATAATCGGAATTTGCATAAAAAATATTCAAATTTATACAAGAAAAAACTAAAAGGGAAATAAAAAATAAATACTTGATATATTCTTCGGCAGAATCTGGATTAAATAGAAAAACTTTTTGGGATAGTGTTGATAAAAAGTGTAATTTATTGATGATATTTAAATCTACAAGTCAATATATATTTGGTGGATTCTCACCTTGTTAATGGATTTAATCCAGTAGATAATACTAAGCTGATGAATCATTGTCATCATTTTTATTTTCTTAGACTTAAGATTAAATCTACCCTTTATTATCAAGTAATTTTTCATCTGCAATCATGAATGATGATTCTTATATATCATTTGGATATTAAGATATTAAAATCTCTTATGATTTTTAGAATGGATCATCACTTTTAGGAGGTACATACTAATGTAACCAATATAAAATTAACAATTATTAAAATCATTTATTTGGATAAGCTACACCTAATATAAAGGAATGCGAAATTTTAATGATAACATTTAAAAATAAATGAAATCATATTTATACAAACATCAATATTTATAATAGATTATTAAATAATATCTTCAAAAAATATAATATTAATAAAATTTTTTATTTAAAATAATTGAAGAAATGAATTAAGAAAATATAAATTTTGAAAAAATCTGCAAATAATCACCTAAATTTCTAAAAAGATATATAATTGAGAGACAGATTCGGACAAATAACCAGATGAATAATTCTTCGAAAAATAAAAATGATTTTTGAAAAAACATTTAAGATTTCAAATAATAGTGTAAGAAATCTCTTTAAAATCTAATAATAATTAGAGATATCACAGTAAAATTAAATTTCAGAATATTAAGTTGAATGATAATGATAATTTCAATCCAAATAAATTAAGAGAAGAATGAAATCAGTATTTTAAATATATATTTTGTATTTAACCTATTTAATAATTAAAATATAATCATATTTTAGGTTTTATATTCTTTCTATTTATTTAATATANGAAAGTTAGAAAAATTGTAATAATCTGAGGTTGAAACTTAATCTTAATCCCTTTTGATATTTTAAAAGTGGTATAAATAATTTTAAGATAACTAAGCAAAGTTGGAAAAATTAATGAAGGTTGATGAAATTGAAAAAAAATTAACCTAAATTGAATAAGAAAAATCACAAATATTAATAGAAGATAAAGAGAATAAACAGAAGATATCAGATTTAGAAGTGGAAATATAAGAATAGTACAAATCATTTATATCATCATAAAAAGAATATTAGGATATAGATTAAGCATTAATTAAAAAAAATAACCTTGAAGAATAGATGTCAGAGTTAAAATAAGTGTATTCAATTATAACAACCAGCTGGCAATAAGGAGAGTCAAAATTATTATAATCGGAATTTGCATAAAAAATATTCAAATTTATACAAGAAAAAACTAAAAGGGAAATAAAAAATAAATACTTGATATATTCTTCGGCAGAATCTGGATTAAATAGAAAAACTTTTTGGGATAGTGTTGATAAAAAGTGTAATTTATTGATGATATTTAAATCTACAAGTCAATATATATTTGGTGGATTCTCACCTTGTTAATGGATTTAATCCAGTAGATAATACTAAGCTGATGAATCATTGTCATCATTTTTATTTTCTTAGACTTAAGATTAAATCTACCCTTTATTATCAAGTAATTTTTCATCTGCAATCATGAATGATGATTCTTATATATCATTTGGATATTAAGATATTAAAATCTCTTATGATTTTTAGAATGGATCATCACTTTTAGGAGGTACATACTAATGTAACCAATATAAAATTAACAATTATTAAAATCATTTATTTGGATAAGCTACACCTAATATAAAGGAATGCGAAATTTTAATGATAACATTTAAAAATAAATGAAATCATATTTATACAAACATCAATATTTATAATAGATTATTAAATAATATCTTCAAAAAATATAATATTAATAAAATTTTTTATTTAAAATAATTGAAGAAATGAATTAAGAAAATATAAATTTTGAAAAAATCTGCAAATAATCACCTAAATTTCTAAAAAGATATATAATTGAGAGACAGATTCGGACAAATAACCAGATGAATAATTCTTCGAAAAATAAAAATGATTTTTGAAAAAACATTTAAGATTTCAAATAATAGTGTAAGAAATCTCTTTAAAATCTAATAATAATTAGAGATATCACAGTAAAATTAAATTTCAGAATATTAAGTTGAATGATAATGATAATTTCAATCCAAATAAATTAAGAGAAGAATGAAATCAGTATTTTAAATATATATTTTGTATTTAACCTATTTAATAATTAAAATATAATCATATTTTAGGTTTTATATTCTTTCTATTTATTTAATATACAGTCATTGTAAACTTAAATTTTAAAAAACACTATCCTCAATATAAAAAATAACAAAATTTGATTATTATAATTATAATTTTACTTAATTATTCCCTTTCAAAATTATATAGAATACTTTTTCAGTGCTACAAACGCCTTAAAATGAATAAATATAAATAAATTTTCGTAAGGATTTTAATTAATAAATAAATAAAAGTTATATATAATTATTCAAAATTCTATTTATATATAAGCATTGATATTTGGAAATTTTTTCAATCGATTTTTAACTAAAATGTAAAAGAAAATTAATAAACAAACAATAATAATTAATAATTGATAAATCCATCCTTTTCTTGATTTTTCTAATGCAGGAAGTATAAAGGTTAATTGATAATTTCCTAAAGAAAATTCATTTTGGCATATAACATTAACTTAAACTATTTTTTTTCGTTTCATATAATGACAAGTTAATGTTTTAGTATTTATAGGATAGTTCCAAATCGATCCATTAAGAATAAAAAGGCATGTAGCGTTTTCAAAATTTTAATTTACAATCAATGCATATTCAAGTGATGTAGTTTATTATGATCCTAACATTAAAATAGGTATATTGTAGCTTTAGTCTAAAAAATCACTCATTTAATAAACACCAATTAAGTAGCTATTTCCTTATTGAAATTATTGCAAAAGTAAACCATTTTAATAGATAGAATTTGAAATTAATTAGAAATTGCCATAAAGTGGAATGCTTGTTAAAACATCTTAAATTTGCAAGTTCAGATTTGTCATTGACAAACGAAAAACATATAATTATCCGAATCCTTCAATATTAGTTAATAGAACAAATAATTTATTCTTTATAATTTCCAAAATCAAGACTTGTAAAAAAAATACGGAATCATAAATCCATAGAATTTCTTAAATTGGTTATATTATAATTGAATCCTCATTAATATATAAATATTGAGAGTAAGGTTAGGAATCAATTATATATAAGATAATAATTTTATTCTATTTATTGAAATCTTTAGCAAAATTAAAAAGCGCAACAGAAAAATCTTAGCAATTGAAATCACCAATATAATCAATATCATAAAGTAGTTCTATGCTGTTATTTTATATATTAAATAAATACAAATTCTATTTAAATTACACTTAAGAACCTAAAATAAAATTAAGATTTAAAATGTTGTTAATTTTAGAAATGTTAATGAATCTACTAGGAATAGCAGATAAATTAAATTCAATAACATTTCCTTCATTATCAAAAGAAATGCTTATCCAATATTATGCAGATTTATTTTAGCATATAGAAGATAAAGTCAAAGACGAAGATGTTGATTTTAAACACTCAATAAAATTTAAATTTGAATAATCGTATTGTGAAAGAAATTCCAGGTATTAATTTAAAACTTAAATTTGATTGTTGTTCTAGAGAATTAATAATTAATTATTAATTGTGGTTATTAGAGTGTAGTTTTTGATATTTTCAGTTATTTATATTTTGTAATTAAAGTTTGTTAAATTGCAACGATTGTTAGAGTAGTAAGAATTGTAAAAAGAATTATTAGGGAAATAGCAAACATCAGCTTGTCTATTAAGTATTAAATTCATTTGGATTGTGAAAGTTTGATCTTTTAAATTTAAATCATATGTATTTAAAATTATTGTATTATTAATTTGAGGTTAAAAAATGGTGAAATTTGATTAATATGTCAAACTTTAATTTGGAGTATATTAAATAGCAGTTTAATTTAATAATGAGGTAACTGTATAATTATAAATAATAGATGGATAAAAGCGATCAAAGTCTAAGGATTGGTTTACATAAAACTGAACACCTTGATAAATAGATAATCTATATATGCTATCATTATTATAAATTAATGAGTTTGTAGATTGCTAAACACTACATATTAATGGTGAAGTAAATTCAAGTAAGTAATATAAGTTCATTTATTATGGTAATGAAGGATTATAAACATACACAGTATAATTTGAAAGTGTAACATAGAAAAATAGATTATCTGATTGTATTTTTACTTTCTTATTGTAATTTATACTCATCATATTTCTTACAAAATATGGTTATCTTACATTTTGAATATTCCAAACTTAAAAGCAAAAATCAAGACCCTACTTGCAAACATATGATAAAACTAAATGTTATCCGACAATATTCATTTAGTATATTATGAAATTCAATTCTATGATTGATATTGGAATTGGTGTATTATTGTAACTTATAGCAAGAATAATAATATTATGAATATTATTAATAAATAAGCATGATGATAATGATTAGGTATTAACAGCTATTTAAATTGGATTAAATTACAATAAGCCTTCAGTTTTTACTAATTAATGTATCATCTTTTCATTTATTATAACTAAATTCGTTAAATTTAAATTCATTATATAAATTAGTTTTTTTGATAATAGAGTGATTAAATGACTATAAGTAACTAAAAACTCAGAAAATTATTATTTAAATTGATAATTTGAGGTTTCTAAAGAACCATTTAATTTTAATTAATAAAGATAGATGGTATCATTTTCACTCACTCCAATTATAATTGTTGAATACATGCTATAAGCAACTTATAATTACTAAGCATTTATAGAAGCCTTAATAGTCTTCACTAAATTTAATGAAGTTTCTTGACTGTAATTCAAAATTTGTATTGATACATCATTTATTCCAATAAAATATGTATATAAATCATATGAATTGTTTAAGAAATAAATTGGATACAATAACTATGCCAATACAAAATTTTGATTTATAAATTGAAATACTTTTTGAAAAGTATTTTTTTTAAACTTTCCAAATTATGCATTGTCTGTATTAGGAATAAATGACAATAATTATCCTGAATAGCCAACAAAAACAAATTCATTGATATTTGGACTTGAAAACGGCTCATATTAAGGAAAATTTTAATTGAACATTACATATATATTCGTATCAGATTAGTTTAATATTGAAAGTGATATATACATCTTACAAGAGTCTTTAAAAGTTATATTTGTTAACTAACCATAAACTACAATCTGATAGCTATTTCCAGAAATATTTTAAGTTGTTAGATTAATTTAGAGTTATGGATAATTTAATTAATAAATGATAATTTTTTTATCAAATGAAAATAAATAATTATTTTCAGTATTCAAATATATTTAAGTATTTTTATTAATTGAAATTTCTCCAATAGAATTTTCACCATCAACTTGTTAGTAAATTGTAATATACCTTTATGATTAAAGTAGAACAAAATCTTTATTCAAAAATACAAAATTCAATGAATTTAATTTTTTACTATTATATGAAATAACATTTTCAAGAACTATTAAATTCTAGCAACCTTAGAACTAAAAAGATACATAATTTTACTCCTCACCCTACACTAAAACATCTAATTAGTCACATTAAGATGAGGTCTAGTAATTGTAGTAAACTTGAAATAATTTATAAATGAGTTCACTATGATATTAAGCTGTCAATTCAAAAGTATAATTTTGAGTAATACTTAATTAAGATATTGATTATTAGAAAAGTATATATATATTTGGGTTTTCTCTTAAAGGTATACTTATTTGAATGAATTAGCTTTACAAGGATGTTAAATTTTAAAATTGAGATGAAAATAAAGTAAGGATAGATTAATTGTAATAATACTAAGCATAAATTAAGAAAGTCTTTGATTAATCAAAAATTTAGTACATTTTTGTTTTAATAGGCTCTTTTGCTTCTATTGTATAAACTACAATTAAGTTATTATTTATTAGTTTAAATAAATAAAAATTTTATTCTGCATAACAATCAAGCAATATATCAATATCAGTAAACAAAATGATATTATTACAGTGATAGCTTTCTTTAATAGTAAATATTTATTCATTTTAATGAATGGAAAAATTTTACCATTTATATAGGATCACATTATTTTCCTAAGTTATTGTAGCAAAATGAGTCTGATTAGATGATAATGACTTAAAATCTAAATTACTTTATTTTTATCCATACCATGTCCTTCTATTTAAGTTTATTTTGTTATTGCATTTACAACCTAAACATTAGGTATAACAGGCTCATAATTATAAATTAGATTCTCTCCCATGAAAAACTTGCTTAAAGAACATTCTAAATATTCTCCAACAGTTGGATACAAACTTAATTCTTTCTACTATTAGGATTGCAAAACACAACCAATAATTACTTGAATTTAATAAAATAAAATCATTTTGTATAATTTTGAAAAAATTAAAAAGTTGTTAGCGATTTATAAAGTTTGTAACTGAAAGCTGGTCATGTATATTTAATCAAATTCTTAATTTTGAGAAAATGAAAACCATATTCTCAATTAATAATTATATTTTAGTTACCTTAATGTTTGCTGATTTGTTAATATATATAATCTAAATATTAATGATAAGAAATTCTAAATTTTTCTCATACAACTTTATTTCATATAGCCTTTTAAAATTTTCTCAAACAGAAATATACTTCGTAATTATAAGTATCTCTTGTTAATAAAAGGAAATTTGAATTCAAATTTGATAAGAAGGTAATTTTTTTAATTTCGTGATATTAAACCTTTTTAATAAATTCTGTTGAAAAATTTACATTTATTAAACTATATAAAATTTTGGAAATTTTCTTTCGAAATTATTTGAATTTATCTTTTCATACATCATGATTATTAATTGAATTGAATAAATATTATAATGATATATAAAGGCTATTTATTTTTTAATGTTCAATATATTCTAAAATTTCTAATAAATTAAATAATTGAATAAAAAATATCATCAATATTTATTATAAAAAGTGAAAAATAGATAAAAATAAGCTACCAACAGATAAAAATAAGCCACCAAGAATGTACAAAAATATAATGAATTTTTAGATTTAAAATTATAAATTCTAAAAATTAAATATTATTCTTAATAAATTAAATTACAAAAATTTATTAAAATTAACCGATCATGAAATAAGATAAACCAAAAATATCATCTTACCGTGACTATTTATTCAATTTATATAATTATTATATGATTAAGTTTAAGTATATTGGTTAAAAAGTAAATATTTCCATTAAAATATTCTTAATTAGCTTTATAAATCAAAATATTAGGATAACAGAAATATATAAAAAGCAAAAGCTTTCTATTATTCATTAATAAACCATGATATCAAAAAAAGCGGATATTTTGTCCAATAATTAAAATAAAAATAATAAACTAAAGAAAATATATATATTCTAAAAAATTCTAAAGATTTGAAACACTGATTTTTTAATTACCTTTGAGGCCCTTGCTCAAATATAAAATATCGGGATGTATAGATTAGAGGGATTTTGAAGATAGTTCAGATAAATTTGATGATTTAGGTTATTTTCACAGAATGTCTAATTCAAAAAAAATTAGAAATATGAGCCATAACATTAATCAACAAACTTCTTATTTAGAAAACAATTGAGGCTTAGTCGAAGTTAAGGATTAGCTTCTTAAAAAATGTAAATACTTATTTAATAATCTGCTATCAAATTCAAAATTTTTATCATCTTCATATTGATCTAAACTTAAAATTTTAATTAATTAGTTTAGAATAATAATAACATATATTTGTTAATCTCAATTATTTAAATTTTGTATATTTATTTTTTAATGATTTAGTCTTTATCTGATTCCCCCAGACTTTTTAAGCTATTTTTTAAGAAGCATGATTAATAGTCGCAAAAAAAATATAGACTTGAAATATATTTTTTCGATTATATAGAAATTTTATTTATTTAATTGCTCATTCTTTAAATTAATACAAATTTATTTATTGCTCAGATCCTGCAACTTTATAATGTTTTTAATTAATCCCAAATGTTTTTAAAATCGATATGTAATAATTTTCTCCAAAATATTTAAATTATTAGAATTCTCATGATGTAATAGTTGTTGTGTCAAAATAATTAACCAAACTCTATTTATTAGGACTTTCGGATTTTTTTTATAAATTATTTGTCAAAGAATTATTGATTGTGTAAAAATAAATGAAATTAGTGAAATACAGATTTAATGTTTAATTCTCAATTCTATATGAAAAATTCCTAGAATCTGCCAATAAACAAACATAGAAAGCAAAAAGATGAAAAATTTATTTGAACATTTTCAACAATTATTTCATGACTTACTTCTACACTATTCCACTAAATTTGATAACTCTGTAACTCTGGAATAAAATTTATCATATCATAGAGTTTGACTATATTTATTACAAATCAATAATTTTCTTATTAAAATTATAATAGCAGTACATATATTATAATATTTTTGCATTCTTTTCTTTTAAGTGAAAATAACATTACTTTAATGTCAAATTTTATGAATTGATATATTCATAATTTGATTATGGAAGTTAAGAAAACCAATTTTCTTTTTATAATGAATTTAAAAAATCAACTATATTTTTTATACGAGATAAATTTTAAATATAATTTGTACTATTTATGCCTTGTTTATTCAATCTAATTTGGGTAAATTGCATTAAATCACTTTCAAATTCTATGACTTATTAAAGTAATAATCATGCTTGACTTTTGTAAATGGCTAATTTTCTAACTTTAGGCATAAGATAGAGTGAAAAACTTGTAATTTATTCTATTAGTAGTCATATTATTTTTAGAATATATATTTGAATACAATTAAAAAATAATTACACATACAATGAATATACATTTCCTAATATATTTAGTTTAGACAATAAAAAATTTAATATAAAATTATCTTTTTTTTAATAATAGAGATTTTATAAATAATGAAATTATTTATATCAAATTATGGTAAATATTCCATACTTAATGATGTGTAATAATCTATGTTACATTAAGATTGTAATAAATTTCCATTCTCCTCTAAAATTATCCAAATAAATTTTGAAAATATTATCAAGAAAGAAAATTCTTTGTCAATTTAAACGTTGGGTTGATGGGTTAATGAGGAGTGAATTTTGCTAATTTTATTGTAAATTTAAAATTTAAAAAGAGTTTAAAAATTAATATGAAACAAATACAATCTAAGCTGAGCTATGTCTTTGCATTGAATTTTATCAATAAAATGGCATGTATTTAAAAATTGTTACTCAAAATATTTCATCATTAACTTTATTTTGGGGATTTTCAGATAAGGTATTAATTATCTTGTCAAAGGTTCTCCAACAATTTCTTAAATTATAGTATATACCTTAAATTTGTTTATCACATTCATTACTTGAAAAGTGTGATTGCTTAGGGAATAATATTCAGTTGTAACAGTAAAAATAATTTTTATTATATTATATTATATTATATATTGTTATAAAATTACAATTCAATAGATTTTATTTTAACGACGCTTATGGTTTATGTTAAAGTTTGTAATAATTTACTAAAGTAGATTAAAGCAGATTTTAATTCACTATCGTAGTGTTAAGTATTTAAAAATATCCTTACTCTAATAGAATATTTTTTTATCAAACATAAAACAGTATTATATAAATGCTAAAGATTTAAACATTTTTTTAATATTTTTTAAATGTAAAACAGACTAAACAAAGAATTCTAAGATTTGACAGCAGTTAATCCTCTTGTTGGAGTTTAGATAGATAAGGACCCCTTTTACAGTTTAGTGTATAGATTCTATAAAATCTTAGATGGATTGCTACTATTATAGGCCCTGAAGGCACAGCTTATAAAGGAGGAAAGTTCAAACTACGTATTACATTTCCAGAGAATTATCCGTTCAAGGCTCCACATTTCTAATTCTTAACTAAAATATTTCATCCTAACATATATTAAAATGGTGAACTTTGTGAGTGTATGCTTGGAACTTATGTATTTATAAAAAATTAGCATTAGGATACATGGCAGCCAGTATATACAGTTAAAAAAGTATTGGAAAAAATATTAAATCTTTTCGGATAAATCATTATCGAGGAAAATCACAACGATTAAGCTATGAATATGTATTAAAGTAACAAGGAGAAATTCCAATAATATGCTAGATGCGAAACAAAGAAGTACGCCTCATGAATCATTAGTAGAATTAAATATTATAAAACCTTTATCTTAAATACTCATCTGAAGGTTAGTTAATTAATATAATATTTCTAATCTCAGAATTTAATAGAAAACAGTTTAGAATTGCAAATATTCTTTATATAACTCAGTTGTATAAAATCTACATATAATAATAAAATTAAATATATTCTAAGTACTGTGGCTCTACATTTTGGTTCGCAAAAGTATATATGCTTTTTTATCTTAAAAACAACTATTTTTACCTTATGTTGTTGATGAAGAAAAAAACAAAGGTTATATGTTATCAAATCAATCAATGAATTAGTTTATATAATCATTTAACTAGCAATTAGGTATAAACTTTAACACCTTATTTACCATTTTTGAGTGATGAATAGGTGAGTTATCCAAAATCAAAATAAACTTTTTTTTCACAGATCAAAGTCATTTTAATAAACCTCTCCATTAACTTAAACGATAACTATTTACCAAGCTACAAATCTTATTTTTAATCATATTTAACTATTTTTTATACCTCCATTCTAATTTTCATAAAATAAACCTTTTTATATCATTTAAATGTTTCCTAAACACTCTTTGCATAAAATGTATTAATTACTCATTTATAATTAATATCAATGCTTTTATTTTTTGAATATTGGAGCTACTTTTTATTTCCAATTTTTTTTATAATTAAGTATTTTCTAGCTTTGCTTAATATATCTTAAATTTTCTTTCTAATTTATTTCTTTTTTATTCTTTTCTTTTTAATTACATTTTATCTTTGAAAAATTTTATGGTTCTCTTTCTAAGGAGGTATTTAATAATCTCAATATACTTTATAATTTAATGAAGTGATTACTTTAAATCATCTTAAGTAACTCTAATTACTTAGTCAACATCTTTAAATTTTAAAAACTTCATTTTATCGATCTAGTGTATTTAAAACATTGATAAAACATTAATTAACTTGCAACTTATCATGAGTAAAACCTAAAGATAGATTTATTTTTGATGAAAATTTTTAAAGATAATATTTTAGGAGTTGCACTTTTGTAATTCTAAATTCTCTATGTGCATTTAGAAATTTCTTATAGAATTAAATATTGTATGTATAAATTTTGCCCTTCCACCTCATGCTTAAACAAATTTAGAAGTGTAATATTGGAAGTAAAGATTATAATAAAAAATAAAAACTCGATTCATGGGATAGTGAGTCTGCTTATATATTTGTGGATTAACAGATTGTAGAAATTTCTATCTCCAGAAGGAATATAAATGTGTCGAAAAGATTTGGGAGATAAATATTTAAATTTAAACTTATAAATTAAACATATCGTCAGCTTGGCAGATTTTAAGTAAAAGTTGGATATAAATTAATATGAATGAAATATTAATGGAGAACGTTTCTATATAATGTGAATGTAAAATTATATATTATTATTATTTATTGATAGAAGCTTTTTATAGTAGATAACTAGAAACTAATTCTTATTCAAATTCATCACATTAAAAATGATTTACTTAATTTAATTAATAAATTTTTTTTTATTCTAAATATATCAATTCGTAATTTTTGCGCTCAGCATTCTATTTTAGGAAGACTTTTCTAAATCTAAACCTTCTTATTTAAGCTAATAGAAATGATCTAAAGTTTAAGACATTTTCAATTTAGAATTCATTTCATATGAAGATTTCCTCATTTCGATTATTTTCTTTGCTAAAGGAATTCCAAGTTTTTTTAATTTTTAAAAAGCCATTATTGCTTTTTTTCTCTATTCTACCCTATTTTTAAGTAGTCTACCCAAACAACCATATTAAGAAATTTCTGGAAATTTGTTTCTAATTTTATACTTAATTTTTTCCAAATGTCCTTCAAATTCTTTTGAATATTCAATTATGATTTTAGAAATGATACTGAATAGAAATAAAAAGTTTAATATTGACATTATAATATAGAACGGTACCTAAAGTTCTACAATTTTAGATTATTAAGAAATATAAGATCCAATTGCTAAACCAATAGTTATCATACTAACATTAGCAGAATAATAATCTAGTTTGTTAAGATTATTTAATTTATAGGGTTAATAATAAGAATTTAATTCTTAGTAAACATAAGTTATAAAGAGTAAGAGAACTCCTTTCAATACAATAGCTTCTTCATAATAGACAAGAGATAGAATAATTAATTCCTTTTGGATTATTTTAATTAATTCCCAAAAGTAAGCCTATACTTTGTATTCATTATACAAATATCCCCAATGAAGTCTAATACTTTTTTTTTCAAGATTACTCTTATTAAAATAGAGACCAAAGAAAAAGTAAAAGGGTATTATTAATGAAATAAATATAATCAGAGGAAAACAAAATTAGAACATCCATATTTAATGTGATGTAGTATCATACCTTTAAGATACATTAGCTTAAATCCATTTGAAACCAGAAATATTTCTATAAGAAATAAGCTCAATAAATCCATTAACTAAATTAGGTTAAAAGTAAATGTAAATATATATAAGGGTTGTTGTTGCAACACTTGAATTTAATTTTTCTTTCTTTAATATATTTATTAATGAATATAAACCTAAAAAAATAGTGATATATAATATTGGCATGACAGTTTACCAAATCATTCTAGCGTATTCTATTTATAAGTCTTTTAAGTCAACTAAAAAGCAATCCAAAGAATAAGAAGATGTTTAAAGAGGGTTTCCAGCAACATTTAAAGTATTATTTAATCCTTCAGATAATTTTAATTAAAATGTAGTAATTGATACAATAATTTGAAAATAATTAGTTAACATCTTAATTAGCATCCCAGACTAATTCTTGTTCATAAAAATAGAATTTTTCAAGATTTTGAAAGGAATATATTTTGTATATTGTTCAATAGTTTTTATATTTCCTTAGACTGAGATCAATAGAAAAATAAGTGTTAAAATAATGATTCCTAAAATAATAAAGATATTTCTTCCCTTTTCAACACAAGGACCGCATTGAAATTTCTTAACAATTGAATATTATCCATTTCCCATTATATCGTATAAATCACATTATTCACAAAGTGCTCCAATATGGCCAATATAACATGAGGTATCTCCTTCGTTTATTCCTCCTAAACAGTTTTCTTGTAGATTGAGACAATAGGCAATATCTATTGTATCAAAGTATGGTTTCCAGTATCCTGGTCTCAAAACTAATTAATTGTCTTTAATATTCAAAGTAGTTAACTCATTTTTAATGTCACATTTTTGAGAGTTTAATTTTAAAGAGAATAAACCAAGATCAGGATCGCATTTTTCACATGAAAAATTTGTAATATTTTTAATTTCTCCAAATTAACAATCATATGTCTTTATATTAACACGAAGTTTATAATTTGAATGGTAATCAACAATTTCTAATGGATTTTCAAGATTATAAATAGGTATTCTTATAGAGTTACAAATGAATTATATTTAAAGAACAATATCTTATGGGGCTTAATTATCAAAATAGACTATCATATCATCAAGATTATAATTTTATGTACTTAAATTATAAGTTATATTACGAATATTAGTATAATTATTTGTAAATTCTTAATCCTCATCTTTATCCTTTGATATATTTAGTATTCTACTCTGTATTTCACATTAAGAATCATTTAGATTTTAAATAGTATTCATATCACCATCTAGGGCAAAAACTCTGAAAATTAAATTGGATTTGTAGTAAATTTTATTCTTCCAATCAAAAATATTATAAGTTGAAATTTTCTATCCTGTTGGGAGATAAATATACTTCAACATTTTCCCATTTATTCCAACATATGGTTTAACTTCTATTTCTTGTATTTTTAAAGTAGAATTGCTGATTTTGGTTATTGTATATAAAATTTAAGATTCATTTTTTATTTTTAATGAAAGTTATTAAGGAATTGAAGCTATATCATTACCATAAACTTCAGCCATATTATTTAATACTTTAGTTTACCCATTCTAATAGTTAATTGCGACTTATTCCTCAATATACAATCCTCCCCCTATAAAAGCCTTGTTAAATTATATGATGCTTTTTTATATTATTAAATATTAATTTCCTTTCACATAGATAGAACCTCCTTCTTAAGTAGCTTCATTATATTAAAACAGAATATTCTCTAAAAGTGTTTATATTTCATAAATTTTTAAACAAGTTCCTTGAGTACCAGTATTATTTTAGCAAATATAATTTCTAATTATTAATTCGTAATTCAATCTATAAAGTTAAAATTCATTTAGTAATCGATTATTCTTATTTGAAATCTTTTCAACATTTAAACATCCTTACTTACCACAAGTTGAATTTTGTACCAAAAGAGAAGTAATTATTTACTATTAAATCTAAGATTTTGAATTCTAAAATTATAGAAATATCAACCCATTTTGGCATTGTGAACATTATATATCAACAAAAGATAAAGAGCTCATTTAAATGATGTCTTGGCTAGTAAAATTATTAAACAAAATTAATCCTGAATTCGAATCATCTATGTATTGTATAATTTCTTAATAGACACAAAACGCTTTTTAAAATTTTTCAATTTAATATTGATAATGATCCAAATTAATAGGTGCATTGATGATTTCATCAAAACAATAATAGATCATATCCATAAAAGATGGATTTTAATTCAAACAACTTTAATTTGTCAAATTCGTTTCATTTAATCCTACATAAATAGATTTGAATAAAATATCTTAAAAATTTAATTGGCAATTTGTTACTAACATATTAATATATTGATACCTGTAAATAATTTAATGGATATTAGTTTATTGCTGATTTAAGAATTTAATATTTAAATATTTGATAGATATACAGATGTCGTTTCATAAAAAACTGAAAAAGCTTCAAAAAAAATACTATTTATTAAAAAACTGCTAATTTATATCAAAGATCCAAATTCTACATAAATTAGAGCTCTATTATTTATTAAATTATATATTTCTGATTAAATAGAAAATACTTTAAAATTGTCAAGAAATTCTAAAAAACCTATTTAAGTATTCACCAAAATTGATTATGAAAGTTAAAAATTCTATCTATTTTATTCAAAATTTGTAAAAGAAACATAAATTAAAGATCCTTATTGGGCATAAATATCTTAGAAATTCAAGTTGAAAACAGTTAAAATTGATAAAGAGGATCTAGATTTAATATATAAAAATCCTCCAAGCCCTCTACAAAATATTCTCTTGCCTATAATATTCTTGATTTCAATATAAATGGATGAAGATTATGATCCATCAATATATATTGCACCTCCATACTCTCTATCATTTTAGAAATAAGTAGATATTCCTTCAAAAATATTATCCTATATAGTTATTTCTGCATCTCCATAAGAATAAATGGAGAAGGCCCCTCCAGATTAACCTGAAGAATTTATAAAGGTATTATTTTAAATTACAATTTTTTCAGTATGTAGTTAACCCACTCCAGAAATAGATTAGATATCAAATATTGATTTTATTATTTCTTATGATACCGAAGATTTAAAACCCCATAATAAATGGGGTTATAGTATTTCATAAACAAAAATACTATTGTTGTAAAAAACATTATTACTGATTAATAATTCCTTTGTTTCAATATAAATGATACTCGAACTGCTATTTAAAACTATATTATTTAAAAATTATGAATTAATCAACTATATTTTACAAATTGAACAGATAATGAATAATAGTCCTGCAGTATTTTTGTTATTGTATTTAGCATATTGATGAAAAACATTATTTGAAAATTCAATGTTTTCAATTTAAATAAGCACCTATTATTATGATTATATTTAAATAAGAGATGTCACAAATAAGGTTTCAGTATAAAGAATCAAATTAGAAATAAATGATAAATCCTATAATTTTATTGCTTCACTCTAATTCAACATACTTGAATCGGCTGAATCAATAGCAATAATTGGAAAATTATAAGATAAAACTTTTATGAATGTCAGATTTTTCATCTCTATTATTTTCGATGAGCCAATTTTAAATGTAGTCGAATAATATTAAGCATTTACTTGTTTCAATTAACAATAAAGTAGTTTATGCAATCCTAAAAATCTATATTTCTCTTGATAGATAGTTCCATTTTCAATTAAAATTTATAAAGAGTCGTATAACCAAATATCATTTAAACCAAAACCACGACTGATAACTAAATTTGTTAATTATATGTAATCATATTGAACTGAAATCAACGAAAAATTCACTTACTTTCTATTCTCAATTATAATATTACTAGTATATTCGTTATTTATTAAGCTTAATTAGTTAAAAGTAATTTTCTATGTTAGGCTTTAGTATTTATTTAGTTTAATGAATTAAATTATAGTATTATAAGAGTTATCTTAAAAAAGAATATTTTAAAATTGCTAATTTATACTTAAATCTAATTAGTTATTATAATTTATTATCCCAAAGGATTGGAACAAAAATGCATTTTTTAGAAATTTCACATTTTCTAAAAAGCTATTTCTATTCAATAAGATAAACGATGAATTAATTAATTAAGTTTGAAGAAGTTAAAAATTAATTATTTCTAAATGCTCGGCTCTTTCGAAATTGAAAAAGTATTTAGAGTCAAAAATTTTACTAGATTCTACAACAAAATTCGATAATTTAATCTAACCATTTTCTTTCATTTATGAAATCTAAATAAATCTTGAATTAGTGAAGTTTGAATTTAGAAATATATTGTTAATTTCAACTATATCGAGATTCCCTAATCCTAAATATAAAAAGATAGTTTTGATATCACATTCTAGAATTGTGATATTATTTAAAAATAATGATTTAGGATAAGTAGTCTCTTCTATTTTCATAAAAGCTTCAGGGTCAATTAATGAGACATTTTTTATAAACAAATTATTCACTGATAGGGAACTAATATTTTTAAAAGTAAATTGAAAGTTCACATTACGATTATTTGTTAGTGGGGCCAATAAAAAACTTATTTAATTTAGAATTATAGATTATTAGAAATAGCTTGTGAATATAAATTTTGTTTATGTAGTCACCTAAAATACAATTCCTGAAAAGGTTATTTTTGAAAAATTTATAAATTCTACATCCATTTGAGGAAAAATATTTGTCTCATATTTAAGATTTAATTCTATTTCAACATTTCTAATATACAAATTGATGAATACTTTAAAGTGAATATATTGTTGGAGAATATTTATTTTAAGTAACCACCTCTATATATGTAATCTTCTATTTTGTCTTTATTTGTTATTTTAATTATGATGGATTTAATTAATTTTGAATTAGCCATTGAGTAAAATTCATCATTTTCAAACTAAAATTTAATTATTTAATACCTCCTAAAAGCTGGAGTTATATGAAATAAGCGTTGTAAGTTCTATATTTTCTTTTAAAAATTTACTCTTCGATTAATCATCTTGTAAAGATGATAAATCTTCCAAATACTTCCAAGCTTCACCATATAAATTTAAAGAAATAATTAGCTATTTATAACAACCTTAACCTTAATCATCTTATTTGCATTCAATAAACAATCCAAAATCTTCATCATAATAGTATTATTAATCATCATAACTTTTCAAGCATTGGTAAGTGTATTTTTGATATTTTGTATTATTAAATAGAGGATTAATTTATTAGATTTCTTGATTTGTTCGCAACCTACAAAGTGCACAATTTTCTGGACATTCTATACATTCATTATTTATCAAAGTTAATTTTCTTCCTCTTTATTCATATTGACATTTATTACAAAGATAATTGTTATTTTAAAATACACATTCAACACATGTTTCTGAACAATATTAAATACATTTATTATCATGTAGTTTAAAACCATTTATACAAGTGGAACAGATAACTTCAGAATCATTTGCATTTTAACTTTGACCAAAAATTGTATATTAATGGTATCCATTTGCTTCAATATATTTTCTGTAAAATGCTCTAATTGATATTTTCCATCTATCTTTTAAAATAGAATGTTGAGAATAACAAGTCTTACAACTAAGTTCTTTTGGGCATTCCATACATATCCCAGATGGAATTGTTACATAATATCCCTTTAAACATTGCAAACAAGTATAAATATCTTTTGCATCTGTTTACAAACAAATTTAACAATTATTATTATAAGTTGAGCAATGTTCTGAAAATTATACTACTTCATTTTTCTACTATGAAGAACTTAAGCAAATAGTTGATTTTAATGAATTATCATTTTCATTTAGATATCCTATACCAACATCACAATCTTAAATTGATTCATCTTTAACACATTCATTAGTTTCAAAGACATAAACAAATGAAGCATCACATTTAGCACATAAAGTTACTATCTAACTTTCATCAAATTGAGGTTAATAATTAATATCAATAGTGTTTATTGTTAAATCTTCTTTCAAAGCTTAAAATGCATAAACACAATTAGTAATCTAATTGAATATACATTATTTCCCATCAAGTGTCAATATATATTTTGATTCATCAATGCATTTGATACACCTGAAATAGTTTTACCCAAGATAATCATCATAATAACTTTAGCAAATTTCACAAAATTGACTACACATTTGACATTTATTATTTAATAAGCTATAAAATTTCAAGCAACTAACACATATTTAGGCATCGGAACATGTTTAACATCCTATAGAACAATCTAAGCATGATCGATTTTTTAAGTACTTTCCTGCATAACAAGTTGTACAACCCCCTAAAGAATCATATAAAGAGCATATTTTCTTATATTTGATACATTAATAATTCCAAATATCAATATAGTAATTTGATTTACATCTCATCTATGTTTCGCTCCCTAAATGAATAAAAGAAAATGTGAAGCAAGGTTCGTTTGTTATAGGACTATAAATACAAAAATCTTCGAATTCCAAACGTAAATTTAATTCTCTGTCATATCCAATTGTGTACAAATCATATTTTAATGGATTTCGAGCTACTTAATGAAATGCTTGGTCTTAAGTCTCTCTTATTGTAATTAGATCTAATTTACAAACTGGTTTTAAGTACCATGTTTTAGAATAGAAATAACATTCTGCACATAACATAGATGATGATGTCATTTATTAAGGGCTTTGAATAAATATTTATAAAAGTACCATTATTTACATTCATAATAATTATCATCTATAGGTAGCCTAAAATAACCAAGAGGGCAAATATTAAGATTCTAAATTTTTATTTCCTCTATTTAAACTGATGAATAAAATTAATCAGTGCATATTGCTTCACCAAAATCAAAGTATCCTTATTTACATTTACACATAGAGATTTCTGTTTATAAATATCTATTTAATTAATCATCACAACTAGTGCAATCATTTTCAAAAGGTCCTTTACAAGTTTAACAATTAAAATGGCAATCTAGATAAGTAACACATTTTACCTAATTATAATTCTTTATCATCATTATAATTAAATTGAAATTGAAAATCAGAGACTTCTATCTATAAAGATTTACTATTCAGATTATCTCCTCCAAAAAATAAATTAAATCTGTGATTTACAAATGAACCTCGAAATATGTCATTTCCAAGTTTTTCTCTTAGAAGCCCCAATTAATTATAGAATTATATTTAAAGTAGCATTCTTTCATCAATATTACTTCTACCATATTCATATTAAACATAATGCCATTATTATAATCCTTCTAAATATCGAAAATCATCTGCATTCTCAAATATCTTAGTCGATTCTACTACTTAATATTTGGGATTCTAAATTCCTTAAAATGTTAAATCATATTATGATTAGAAGGATAATTAAACAGGCATACTATAGGCATCTGTGTGTACAATTATTTAAGTTTCAATAGGATTGATTTATGAGTAAAATACATTAATACTAAATAATTCGTCTCCTAATTTTTTCTTTTCCTCATAATTTAAAAAGCTAGTCATTCTCAGAAAAGTAAATCGCCCTTCATCATCATTATTAAAATTATATTTTACCCATCCAGATAAGCAGTACTTTGTTCCATATTAATCTATAACATTGTAAAGAGTCTTTTAGTCATTAAATATTTGAAATCCTTTTACAATTTAAACTTTTTGCTCTTTCTCATATTTTTAAGGGATTGTATTATCAATCATGATATTTTCAAAAGAATTATCTTCGTACAAGAAGTTTGGTAGAAATATCAACTTAGACAACAATCCTTTAAAATAATTTAAGTTCAACTCATTTATCTTTATAGATACAAATTATTACATATCCTCTCCCTCCTTAAATAATTTTTAAATTTTATTAGAATTTTGTATTAATAATATGAGAATTTTTACTTTGGCCACCAACTTCTATCATTATGATTCCTTTTATTGGTTATATCATAATTAAATGAAAAATCCATTATCCTTCGTAATATAAACCATCAAACTTAGATATGAAATTCTCATATGAATCATCATTCATATATTATATCATATGTCCAACCTTCAGATTAATATAATCTAAGATCTTATAAACTACAACTAGATTGTTATTTGTATCAGAATCTTTTATTAACAATAACAATTCCCCATCTTCTTTCAGGTCCTTATTGAATGGTATTTCAAAATCGCTGTTCTTTCTTGGAATTTTTAAAGGAATACACATACTCCAAAATCCTATACCATATGTGTCTTTCTCATCTGAGTCAATAAAATTGATTGTCTACTCTGTAATTTCAATACTTGAAGACAAAATTGCCTCTTCATAATTAGAAAAGGAGGAAAAAGTCAGTTAAATTATTAAAAACAACTAAATGGTAACAAATAGATTGCTTTGCATCATGAATTTTGTTTTTAACATCCTTATCTTCTTTTTTATTTATATTATAATATATATAAAGAAAATCTTATTTTTATTTTCAGAAATATGTTAATTAAATTTTATTTTATTTTTTCATTTTCTTCAGTTTATAATTTTAAGGAATTCAAGCTTTCTGAATACAGTTAAAACGGAGCAATATACATATTGTGCGCATCAAATAATATATTTTAAGCTAATTAAGAGCAATCACATTCAAATATGTAATTTAGCTTTTGAAATTTAGATTTCTGCTATGATTTTTTAGTCTCGCTATTTTCTTTTTCATTAAGTAATCAAACTTTCAAAAGTGTAAGAAATTTTTTAATAATTAGAACTACCTTTATAGTCTAATCAATCTGATATATACTTCTACATAATGAAGGTCTGAGATCCACTACTTCTTTTTGAATGCAGTAGGAAAGTAAGGTAGCTTTTTAAGGAGAAATATAAGACAGGTTATTTTTTAGGAAGCTATTAATTTTTTTAATTTTCAATAAAATTTTATTTTAAGCAAAAAGTGAAAGAAATATAGCAAGAAATAACAAATATTTTTGAGCTTTTATACACATTTTTTAATAGTTTTAGAAAGTAAAACGAAATTTGCAAAAGAGATAATCCGATTTTGGATGGAAATTGCTTGTAGTCAAATTTCACATAAAATATCAAATAAAGAGTTTACAAAAATAAATTCTGTTCATCCTGTGCTATAATTCCAGCAGTTTCTTATAGAGACTTCAATAATGGACTTAAATGTATTAAATATTATGATTTTGCTGATTACTCAGTGTTACTAAAAATTTTCTGAATAAATTCGCACTAAAAAAGGTTATAACAAATACTCTAAATATTGTACATTAATTCTATATATATGAAATACTAATGATTTTTGAAAAAATAAAGTTATTTTCTAAATAGCCAAAATATTACCCTATATTTATAAAAGGATGATTAACAAAATAGAAATTGAAGAGCTCAAATTGTCAAGCCTGAGATGAGTATTCAATTTTGACTCTTCGGCTTGTGCATTTCTAATAGTTTGGATAATTTTGTCATAAAACTTATTTGACAAATTTAATTTCAACAATCTCTTTGCTTATGATTCAATATTTATTCTGGATTTTATATGTAAATTACTTAAATTCAAATTAATGGTCATATAACTTAATGAAAGCAAACAATTTGACTATTCTCGAAAAAAATAAAGATCTTATTTTTATTCATATTAATGTATTATTAATTATTTTTTTTTATCTCACCTGTTTACCTGTTTAATTTTTATTTTATTTATAAAAACTACATATATAAAAATGTTAAAATTGAAAGTTAACTCTTTTTCCCTAATTCAAGAATTAAAACTTTACTAAAAATAATAATTAAAATCCAAAGTGTAATTCAAATAAGGAGAACTAAGTTATAGAAAAGAAGAATTCTCTATTTAAAATTTTATAATATCACCCAATCAGAGATTTTTTAGACATTTTCGAAAAAGAAAAAATAATTTAGAAATCTCACAATTAAAAAGTATCTCAATTAAGAATTATTGATATCTTATTGAATGAGACTTTAACAATAATAAATTAAGTAAATATGACTAATGCAACCTTTACATTTGATTCCAAATATTTCATATTATTAACTTAATGTAGAGTAGTCACCATCATAGATATTGATAAGCAGATAACCAATTTTCTTGAGTTTAAATCTGATTATCTAGTTTCGGTTGATTTAAATTATAACATCTACACAATTGAAAATGAAAAATACATAAAAAAATATTCAATAAAAACAAAAATACTCAATTTATATGATTAACTAATTAAATTAGTTTACTTTTAGCCAATCTTAAATTATAAAATAATATTGAAAGAATATTGTTTAGTAATGACTCAATAATATTCATATCTTTTAAATTTAAAATATTATAAAATAGTAAAATAACAAAAAAATGTTTATTTGATTGTAAGATATCTTCATTTTACAATAATTTTATTCAAATTAAAATAATTGAAATAAGTCAAATTGATATATCTTTGAAAAATATATTTAGTGGAAAGAAAATTCGAAGAATAACAAATAAAGAAATAATAAAAGGTAATATTTTTAGAACTAAAAATCAATATATTTTTTTGGCAATTCAAGAGATTACAATGAGAGTAGTATTATTTATTTTAAATTATTCGATTTGATCCAAAGAATTAATATTGAATTGAATTACGATTTAAATATCTCATTTAGGGATATTTATGAAATGTTTAAAATGAAAGATAATTTTATTGTTGGAGTGAATAAATTTGAAGGCATCATAAGATTTTTTTCATTATCATCCATTTGATTAATTTATATTTTCATTATATTTATAAAAGTTCTATTTAGAATATATACTAAAAGGAATCTGCAAAATTTCTAATCTAAAATAAAAAAACATTTAATAAACTTTAATATTTTTGATTAATGGAATTCCTATAATCTATAAGAAGAGTTTTAAGGATAAAAAATGTATCTCACTCTAAAATTTCTAAATTCAAAAAAAGTCGATTAATTTATTGAGAAATACATATAATGAATTTTATTTTAGATAAATTATTAATTAATTTAGAAATTCTAGCTTCAATTTCTTTAATTTAAGATTATATTAAACCTTAAAAATTAGATTAGATTAGTATTCCAGTTATTTAAATACAGATTTAAATAAAATATGAGAAATCATTATTAATAAATTTTAGAGTCAAATACATCAAATCAAAAAGTTATTTTAGATGAAAAATTATAAGTATATAGACTAAAAATGAAATGATAAAAAAATCAAAAAAAAAACATTCTAATTATGCAAAAATGGTTTATTTTAATGAAATTGGCCTTTAGAAAATTAAATGACCAAAACTTTTCGATTAGGATTTTGAAGATAAACAATAAATGTTAATAATGATTTAATCATCGATTAAAGCATTGCATTTTTAAATATTTATTTTATTGATATATCATTATATTAACTTAGACTATTAAGATTATAAAATTTTATGCAAAAAATATTTCTTATTTAAATTTTCCTAGCCCCTAATTAATTATTCCTTTTATTACATTAATTAAAATTGTTAGTTATCGTTAACTCTTTTCATAATATCCCTAAAACCTTCTTTTTCGTCATTTTTATAAAAACCAACATGAATAATAATTTCCTTGCCACTATAAAATCATCTAATTAAATTTAAACTTTTTAAATATCTCAACTAAATCAGTCCATTTTCCTATTCTGATTTCATTATCATCATATTCTCCTCCTCCTCTCAATAAAAATTTTAATTTCTTACATCAATTAATAATGATAAAGATCTTTTCCTGTTTAGAATTTGATATCCCATCTTCCAACTTTTTTTCCATTTTTATATTTTCCCACAAATTACAACGACAAAAAACTTATTATTAATAAAATATTAAATACCCTAAATACATATCATCCAAATCAATCCAATTTCCATTCATTAATCCATCCTCACTGTATTTTCCTTCTCCACTATTTAATAAATTTGAAAATTTACATATTTTCAATTTGGCTATAATATCTCATTCTTGATAAATATTTCCAAGATCCCAATTTAATTCCATCCTTAAATTTTCCAGCCATTAAAACCTAATTTACTTCTCAAAGTGAATAAGTTATATAATTACTATTTAAATTTGTTATGCTACATTGTCCATTTTCCTTATTTCATTCCATTTTCATCATATTTTCCATCTCCACTAATTTTTTATAATTTAGAATTACAGATTGACATTACCCTACTTACTATCATCATAATAAAAGGTTTTCCATTTTCCACATTTTCGTTTATTCTAATATTATCCTATATTGTAACATTGGAAATGACTATTTAATTTTTGTATTATTTTGTTACTCATAAAAATTATTGTGTAACTCTTTCCATTTTCCTTCTTACAATCCTTAATCATTATATTAACCTCCAGGATTTTATCAATTGATTATATTTTTTAAGGTATTTGGAATAATGGAAAGGTGATATTTTCTATGGGTTCATTTTTAAATTAATATGAATATTATCATAATATTCATTAAATATGAAAATTATCTTAATATTCATTAAATAGAGAAATTTGCGACTATATTTATTATGACAATCAAAACAGTTAAATTTACAATTCCTTATTCTATATCTGGGAACTTTAAATTTACAAATAGAAATTAAGATAATTATCTCATATGTATTATAGCTTTCATTTTTTGTAAAACATTAACAGGTCCAAAATAAATTTAATATACATCTTGTAATTATGGAACACCAATTAATAGTATTTTTCCTTTATGTTCTCCCAAATTCATACCATATTAAATATGTAGGGTATAGACTAAAATGTGATTCTATTTAACCATTATATTTTAATGGAGTTTGAAATAAATTTCCAAGTAATATTTGATTTATAATATTAGCTAATTAAACAATAGATTCTGTTTAAGTTTATTATATATACCTTATGATGCTAATAATTATAAAGACTATTTAGAATGATGAAAAATTTATGACCCAGGCTTTATTGATGATTCTATGGATGTTCTTTATCATTCAAATCAATATTTATATGGAATTTTAATTATAATTCTGGAATTATGAGATCAATTCCTATTTCAAATTTATACGAAAATTATCTAAAGGTAACAATTTCATAATAGTCTTTTATGAGATTCCTTTAGGTTGTGGAATTCAATTCAAATGTAACAATACTTATGTAGGATCAATATTTAAAAATAATTCTGGTGTTTAATTGCATTATTTAGGTGAATTCTCTTATATTTCTTTAGGTCCTAATAATTCTTATTAAAGTTCTATCAAGTAAATTAATACTTAAGAATAGTATTTTCAAGACTTATTATTTGAGGCCATTTATTTTTTATTGCCTTAATATTGATAATCCTGTATATATATAAATGTCTTATTATTTCTAAATTTCAAATGCAAGTAGTGTTCAAATGGTTTTTATAGATACTAATTATTATAATAGATTCTTAACTTTTGATTAAAGAGGATAAATTTGAATTAGATTATTACCTTGAATATACTTTGATGTAAACAAATGATTCTAATTTTTTTAAAGAATCTGATAAACTCAATTATTTTATTTTAAATAATTTAGTGTAGATATTTCTCATATTTGAAAGGATAAAGAATTCTTGGTGGTCAGTTCATTTGGGCATAAGCTAGAAATTTAGAAGAGTCTTTTAAAATTTATGTCCTCATCATAGTATATCAATTGGTTTCTATGCTTTTTTTGGTCCGTTTTTCCTTTCTGATGGGTTATTCATCAATCAGATCGAATAAGAAGAGTTCTCTAAAACATTAGGAATTACAAAAATAATTACAAAAAAAGCAAAGTAGGATATAATTTATTAGATAATATATGCATTCAATGTCTATCAATATAGATGTATAACTTTTATAATGTTACAAATATTTTAATAATGGTAAAATTATTTAGTATACAACAATTATGTGAAAAATATGGTTAAGGTTTTAATTTAATTTCTTATGAATGTATACTAATATGTGGAGACAATAAGTTGAGTAACTTGTGATATTTCTACTATTCTACCTTATGATGTATGTGGAGAAGGATTAATTAGTGGTGATGAAGAATGTGAAGATGATAATGAAATTCAATTTGATGGATGCTATAATTGTATCTATTAATGAATGTATTAAAGAAAATGTTACTTTTACCTTGGGTATTTAAAGAAGTTTGTGGAGATGGTTATAAAATTGATATTGAAGAATGTGATGATACCAATTCACTTTAAAATTGTAAATTTCTATGTGGGATTAGATGCTCATTTTGTGATTTTAAGAGAAAAAATGCTTAAGTTGTGAATTTCCTGAATTTAAATCTTACGAATAATATTGTATACCGATAACGGATGATGAATTACTGATCCACATGGATTTTATTATGAAACATATTATTCTGAATTTAATGAAACATTATATTACAATGAAAATGAAGATATTAATTGTCAACCTATAAAATGCACTAATTGTCAAACAAAAAATTTTAAGCTTGTAAAGCTGGACAAGAGCTTTCAAATAATAATATTTGTAAATCAATTAGTGAAGATTCTTATAAAACAGAAAATGAATATTGTGAGAATTCTTTCAATTTGCTCTTCCTTTTTTTTAGAAACACTTGATGTACTAGAATTACCAACTTACTTGAAATTTATTAATGTAGAATTTCCAGAAAATCTTTACATTTATTTTGAAGCCTCAGAAATGTTAAGTGTTAGTACATATTTTTAAAATTTAATTTTAATTACTTCTACAATCAAATAGTAGGATAGACAGAACCAAAATTTAGAGGGAAAATTTCAATTTAATGATTTATTATTCTTTAAAAGATTAAAAGGTTTTAATTCTTCTAAAAATCAATTTTATTTATTTCTAGTATAGATCCAGATATCATTATTAGTTTACTTCCTTAGATTCTTAGATTTTTTAATTTCCAGGATTAATACTTAGTTTATATTGAGGCAAACCTTTATATAAATTATTCCATTAAATTATGTTAAAATAATAATTTTTTGTTCCAAGTAAATTCACTAATACATTTTTTCAAACAATCATAAACGCCATGATTATAGGTGTATATAACCTTTTAAGGAGAAAAAACTAAAATTCAAATAGAATATTTATCTACAATTTTGTTCTGATCTTTTTCTATGAGAACCCTACTCTGTAAATTTTATTTTTATCAGTTATCAGTATAACTTAGTGCTCCATAATTTTTTATATGATTAAATCAACGCTATATAAAAGATGATATCAATATTAAATAAAGAGACAATATCATTATTTACTGGAACTACTTAATTTATATTGATTAGAATAATACTTATATTTCTAATGAAACGATAATAAAATTTGGCTTTATTGAAATAAGTATAACATTGTTAAACTTATTAATTGTTTTTTTCAAATAAATATTTACCACAATTATATTTAATTAAAGTATGTTAACCAACTTAGAGTATAAATACTTTAACTTCTCAATTTCACCTACGATGGCTTAATTATGATTTTGTAGCTGCATATACAAATAAGGCGATTAATACAAACATTATGATTTATATAAATTAATTAATTTATAATAGATAGATATGTTTTTTAAATACTTAAAATTAATTCTATCTAATAAAAGAATCAATATCAAAGATAACCAGGAGGGATGCAATAAACATTGAATCTTTAATTGATAATTTCTAGGTATGATTGTGTGAATAATAATTGATAATAAATTTAGTAAGAAGATAAGGAAAGGAGGGAAGGAGATATGTGAATCTTTATATATTAATTATTAATCCTCTAATATCTTATAACATTAGAAATTCTAACAATAAGAACAATTTTTAGCCAAAGTTCAAAAAATTAGAAATATTAATAAAGCTACGATTTAAGTGTGGAGTTATGAATTATTATAATCCATTATGAAAAATACATCCATTAAAAAAAAAAGGTTGTATAGATTGAGAGCAATTATGAAAACATCAAGTATATAATTATCATAAAGACTTTAATATTTATAATATAATAATAGGTTGGACTATTATAATACATAAATTTCTTAGTAATAAGAAGAGAAATTATTTTAGTGATGTTTCTACTACCTCTTACTTTCTCTCATTCTATCTACAAGAATGATAGGGGACAATTTTCTTGATGTAAGGAAAAGCCTTTATCCTTAGATATTTTTCTTTATCTTTATCTATCAATTCTTTATTTCCCTAATGAATTCAATAATGTCGTTTTTTTATTTTTGCTTTTATTTTGAATGATAAATGACTAGAATAGAATCTATATAAAATAATTCTAAATATGAGACACCTGCTTCTTTGTTAGAATTAAATTAAGTTACTATTTTAACAGTTTCTACATAAAAAATTTTGTAATTTATAACCACTTAATTTATTAGATACATCTATCTATAGCATTCAAATATACCCAAATTTATAAATTCATTATAAAAAATATGAAAAACAAACAGCTTTTTCATAAAATATCTGCTAAAAAAAATACTCTTCCAAAAAGGATATTCATTAATTATTTTTGGGTATTTCTATATTTTTGAGAACAAGAATAACTCCAGACCTCTCTAATTTTAAAATAACAAGGCTATATCTTTCATACTATCATTTTAAATTTAATGATGCTCTAATAAAGGGGATTTAATACAATTTAAAATTTTACTGGATAATACTAGCATAGTCAATTATGTATCATACCCTAAAAATTTCAAGCATTAAATTCCTAAACAAAATTTCATATATAAATTCTGATAAATATATATATTATAACTAAAAATAATGAAATTTTAAGATATGGAAAACGTAAAATAATTCCAAAATGTTAGCTCCTTTATGAGTTTATGGGGTATTACTATATTAATTGAAGAACTGGATCTTATAAATACTTTAGGATTCAGTTATTAATCAAAATTTTTCGGGGCTAACTTAGGCAATAGGACTTCTATAAGGCATGAAAATTTATTTGATAACATGTAATAGAAATTCATCTAAACTTTTACAACAAAGTTAAAGATTTTTTTTGTCGTTGAACTTTCATGAGTATAAAGATCTATAATATTGAAAATGGCCTTGATGTAAATAATTTCAGGTTAATAGAAAGATTAAGATTATGTAAAATCGGAGATTCATTTAGTTAATTTAAAGAGTAAAAAATTAAGGACAGGACACTATCCAATATAATAGAATTATGTTATAACAATCAATAGCTTTTCAAGCCAATATTAATTGTAATAATTATATAAAAAAACAAAGAGTTCTTTGTAAAATTATACCTAATTTATGAAATACATTATTGATGTATTTGTATTGAAAAAAATTATTTGTGTTATAAGGAAAAGAATATGTTATTAAATCATAAATTTATTTTCATCAAAATTCTTATGTAACTTGAATATGAATTACTATTTAATTTGTAATTATATTTTATATGCTATTTTATTTAGAAATTCAAATAATTGTTGATAATTATTATAATGCTCTGTTTTTATCTTAAAGTAATCTAATCCATTTTTCTTTAAAAACAATATTGCTTTTTAATACATTAATTACCATGAAACAATTCTAGATAAAATAAAGCGATAATTGTTTCCCATAAAATTTCTTCATAATTATTCTTATTATTTGAGCTGCATAGTTTAATTGAATAAGTTTTTCTAGCAACTTCTTAAGAATTTTCAATAGTGTTTTAAATAAGACTACTTTGTGAAATTTCAGGAATAAAGTTTTTATCTTCATTATTATGCTATTACACTTATTTCAGAATTAAAAAAACAGATTTGCCTAAAAATTATTTTAAGGTTTTATTAATTAAATTTTTCATCAAATATTGATAAATACAAAAACTTAAAAATAAATTATCTAAATATTGTCGAGGAGTTATATCTATAAATTCAAGGGTTATTAACACAAAACCATATATTTTACTTAAAATTAGATAGAAACAATATGATTGAAATATCATTTTGTTAAGTTTGGGTTTATCTTATCACTTCTAATTTAAAATCATAAAGAAAAATATTGTATAGATTTTAGAATATTTAAATGAAAAGAATATTAAAAGATTACTAAACATAATAAACAAGTATTGCTCAGAATGCCATGAGTGCAAGTACTAAAATTAAATTTCAATAAGTGATACAACTTTATAAGAATAACTAAAATGAATTTTTATATCCTTATGCTAAATCAAAACTCCTAAAAACCATATTATTTTAGATCAAATCATAAATATAACTCAAATCAATCTCATTATCCAATTATCTTACATATATTTATGAAAATAAATAAAATCTCTCCAAAATTGACCACCAATAAAGTATAATTAATTTGATATAATAAATAATTTGGTGTATATATATAAGTTAAAATAAAGATGATAGAAATGAATTTGAAGAACCTATTTAAGTATTTTCAAGAAAGGAAACAAGAAAAAGCAAGTTTTCAAAATAAAATCAGAGACCATTATATTAATTTACTTTATTCTTTTCAATTTATTAATCATTTTTCATAAATAAAAATTTTAAAATATTAGAATTAAAAATGATTTTGAGTTTTCTATTTTATTATATTATAAATTATTAAATTTATATGCATGTTATTTAATAAATTATATGATAATGCTTAAGCATGGAAAATAAAAGGATGAAATAGTTCAATTAGCTTTGAGAATTTAATATAAATTAATGTGAAAGATCATATTTATAACTTATTTGTAAAGAATATTAAAATTAAAAATAGAATATATTGAATAAAATTAAAGATTAAACGTTAGTAAATTGATTTGAATGTAATACAAGAAGAATTACATGAAACAAAATCTAATTAATATGGAGAGGAAGATTAAATAACTAAACAAAATAGTGAATTAAATAAATAAAAAATTGATACATATATTGCTGATAGTATATTGCAATAAATATTTTCTTAATGGAAATACTACTAAAGTTGAATTAGAAACAAATATGGCGGAAACTCATGTAGGTTTATGATGGAATTACATATTTAGTATACATAATAACTTAATTATTAATTAATATTATTTAACAGATATTAAGTTATGAATTTGACAACGTCTTTAGAAAAACTATTATGTATAGAAGATGATATACAATTTTACCAATCATTTTTAAATCATCTCAATAGTAATCATATCTAATCTGATCAGTCAATTGAATCATTGGAAAAATTTGTATCATAATATGTTGTAAGAATTTTAATTTGAAATTCTAATTAAATTAATTAATAGAAGAATTATCAAAAAGTAAAGCCATCAAATTTGAAAAAGCTCTCAGTTGTAATGAGTACAGAATAGGAGGAATATTATAGTTTTCAAAAAAAATAACCTTTGGATAGAAAGAGGAGTAGTAACTTAATTAAAGATACAAAATAATAAAATTAATTATCTCTTATTTGGAAAAGATACAAAAAATGTATGTATACATAAAAAATATCAATAATTAGATTACTGTTCTGGCAAAAATAGTTTTCCATTCAAAAACTGGGCAACCACAAATCTTTCCAAAGTAACCTTCATGCCATTAGAATTTTCTTTCCCAATCCATTTTTCCATATACTTTAATTTAAGCAGCTTCATTATCACAAAAATCAATCTTAGCCCAAAGTACTTTAATCTTTAATTTATAATGGGGATTGACTTTTAAGACTTTGCTAACAACAGCTTTACGACCAGTCTTATCAAATCCACCAAATAAAGCAACACCTTTAAAATTAATAATATCAATAATTAGATTATGCATATGTATAGCTATTAAGGCAAGGAAAAATAAATTTATCTTTAATAGTTTAAAATAAACTTTAATTGATGCAGATTAAGAAATAACTTTATTCCCTAATCAAACTGCGGAGAATTAATAGATACTATAGAAGATATAATTATAACTTAAACAAATCATGAGTAAACTTAATTAGGAAAGATTAAATTCAATAGATTTATAATAAAAAAATTAGCAATTAAAGCATTTGATTTTAGTAGCTAATAATAGTTTGAATCATTATAAGAGAATCTACTCTAGACAGAATAAGAATTATTTAATGATAAAAAATATGAAAATCAAAAGAATGTTAATTGTTCTCCATTAAATTAATAAAGGAATAAACTTAATGGTAATTAAGAGAATCAATATAATTAATTAATTAACTATCAATTCTTAAAGAGCAAACAATCTAATTTAAAAAATATTCAAATGAATATATTATAATTTATACACTACTTAATATAAAAATAGAATTTTATTACAAAAAAAGGATTAAAGTTCCGAATTCCTTAGATTACTTATCTTGTAATTGAAATTTATGTTCCTTCATTTTAAAAACATGCCTCAAAACGATCACTTTTAAAAAATATAAACCATTTTTATTCTCATCATAAAATTATCTAGCATATTTATCAAAGCCTTTAATAATGAAGGATTAAATTACAATCCTTAACTTCAAGATTTCTATAATTATTATCTTCAATTTTCGGAGTATCATTATACAATATGCTTTATCCTTAAAATTTATCATCTACCTATTCACCATCATATTCAGGATTACACTAGCATAATACAATACACCTAAATTTAGATATTCATTTCATACCTAGTCCATTAATTCTGTAATTTTTCCAATTTCCATCATTATAGCCTCACTCTATGTAATATAATCGTCCTCTACCTTCTCTTTTGTCATTAATCTTTTCTCCAAAATATCTTTATTCATTTAGATAAGTTTCATTAACATAAGTTTATAAATTTGATTTTGAAAGATATGTTGAGAATAGCTAAATATTATTATGAAAAGACTTAAACAGGTATTTTTTTAAAAATGAACCATTTTCAGAAATTTTGTTCAATATAACAATTAAAACTTTAATGTAGTATCACTTTTAAAACATTCTCTAAAATTCTCGTTGATGAAGCGATTTGAACTTTGAAATCAAATTTTATTTTTTGAAAATGTTTAAAAAATATGTTAATGTATATTTGTTTGATGATACATGCTTTACAAAATATGTTCTTAAACTAATTTGAAATGCCAGATTTATATAGTAATTCGGGTTGTGTTGGTTCTTCATAAATTGCTCATAAGTAGTTTGAAGTTACATAACATTTTTAGTTAATGGAATTAAATGTAAAGTTTACGATTCGCTTGGGTATTGTGAATATAAATAATGTTTATGATTTGAATAGGGTTAAAGACATATGATATGATGCATTTATGTAAGGATGTATATTAATGAGATTAGGATGTATTGAAAGTAATGATATTTGCAATAATTAGGTCAGAACTCAATTAGGATGTTCTTAGTTTCTTGGGAATGGCAAAAACTGTTGGAGTGATAGTATTACATAAATTTCATAATGTAGAGGATCTTAAAAGAATGCAATTAATTTCAGGGATCGAATGGAACTAAACCTTGTTTGATTGCTATTGCGTTTACTGATTAAAAGGATCTGCAGTATCTTAATCCTGTTCTTTATTTAATGAAATCATCAAGTCTTGTCAACTATTTTCAGATTTGGATTTCTTAATAATTTTTCTTGTGAAGACATTTAGACTTTGTAAGAATGTTAAGCAAGAAGCAAAGCTTCTACAGGGAAAATTGATTCATAATTATCAATTAAATGGAGTTTTTTTTAATCTTAATTGATATATTCCATGCTTAGATATTCGTGGAATATCTTGAGTATTAAAGTGATGGGAAATGCACGGAGGAAATTGAAAGCAAAAATATTATTATTTTAACATATTAAAATTAATAGGTTAAGTAAAAACTCATAATTTATTGTGCTAATTAATGAAGATCTGTTGTATTTGTGAAAGAATAAAATTTAATTACTTACTATCTAGCTGCCACTATTACTGCAGCTCATTGTATTTTTGGAAATTAAGAATATGTTCAACTCCTTATCAATTTCCAAAGTGTAGATAACTAATTGTTTTTAGTATAAATCTTTTCTGTGAATGATGCTTAAATACAAATAAGATGATTCTGCATTTTTTTAGATAATGTGATATATCTAAGATCAATTAATTAATAATGTAAAGATAAATAATATACTTATNTACATGCTTTACAAAATATGTTCTTAAACTAATTTGAAATGCCAGATTTATATAGTAATTCGGGTTGTGTTGGTTCTTCATAAATTGCTCATAAGTAGTTTGAAGTTACATAACATTTTTAGTTAATGGAATTAAATGTAAAGTTTACGATTCGCTTGGGTATTGTGAATATAAATAATGTTTATGATTTGAATAGGGTTAAAGACATATGATATGATGCATTTATGTAAGGATGTATATTAATGAGATTAGGATGTATTGAAAGTAATGATATTTGCAATAATTAGGTCAGAACTCAATTAGGATGTTCTTAGTTTCTTGGGAATGGCAAAAACTGTTGGAGTGATAGTATTACATAAATTTCATAATGTAGAGGATCTTAAAAGAATGCAATTAATTTCAGGGATCGAATGGAACTAAACCTTGTTTGATTGCTATTGCGTTTACTGATTAAAAGGATCTGCAGTATCTTAATCCTGTTCTTTATTTAATGAAATCATCAAGTCTTGTCAACTATTTTCAGATTTGGATTTCTTAATAATTTTTCTTGTGAAGACATTTAGACTTTGTAAGAATGTTAAGCAAGAAGCAAAGCTTCTACAGGGAAAATTGATTCATAATTATCAATTAAATGGAGTTTTTTTTAATCTTAATTGATATATTCCATGCTTAGATATTCGTGGAATATCTTGAGTATTAAAGTGATGGGAAATGCACGGAGGAAATTGAAAGCAAAAATATTATTATTTTAACATATTAAAATTAATAGGTTAAGTAAAAACTCATAATTTATTGTGCTAATTAATGAAGATCTGTTGTATTTGTGAAAGAATAAAATTTAATTACTTACTATCTAGCTGCCACTATTACTGCAGCTCATTGTATTTTTGGAAATTAAGAATATGTTCAACTCCTTATCAATTTCCAAAGTGTAGATAACTAATTGTTTTTAGTATAAATCTTTTCTGTGAATGATGCTTAAATACAAATAAGATGATTCTGCATTTTTTTAGATAATGTGATATATCTAAGATCAATTAATTAATAATGTAAAGATAAATAATATACTTATATTCAATTAAACTTTTACCTTTCTTTACTCTTTACTGTAAGTCAGAGAGTATTAGAAAAAGGTTTCAAATTTAAATTTGATCTTTTGAATTATGGGTTGTAGGTGGATTTCCTTCAAAAGGTATTATAACAAAATAACCATAATTCCGTTATTATGTTATTATGGATAATTATTGCCCTAATACTTACATTTAAAATCATAAAATATGTTAAAATGGAAGAGGATATTGTTTTAATGGCATCAATGGATGTTTCTTATAAGAAATATACAGATTTCCCTTGTGATATTGTCTTAAGTTAATAATTATAATTAAAAGCATATATGTAAATGGATAAACGTACTTTTTATCCTGCTTATATAAAATATTGTTATTAATTTAAGAATGCGTCTCAATTTCACCTCTCAGTTATTCTTCTAATAATCTTAATGTTTAGAAGATAATTCTTTAAAATAATAATCTGATTATTATTTCTAATTCTGAACAATGAATTTAATTACTTTATAATTTCAAGATTAATAAAGTGATATTGATAATACTTTCAATCTATAATGCTCACAAATGTCTAGTCTGTTTACATGAATTCATTTAAGATCTTCAAAATGTAAATTTAATTAATAGAAATGTCTAATTAGTTTTTTCATATTATGTATCAAAGAAAGGGTATATTTAACGTTTTTCGTATTCAAATAAAGTAGAATAAGGTGCGGATCAAAATGTTAGAAATTTTAATAGTTAGATGAAAAAATCTTATTTAAAAGTTACCCAATTATTTTCTTGCCATAATGAACTTCTTGAGGTTAATATTATAGTCTGTAACTAGGGTAAATTACAAAAAGTAGAATTTTGTTAGTTTGAAATTAAATGATCAGTGATTATATAATATTGGTTAGTTTGCAAATATTTAAAATAATTATAATAATTAAATTAATATAAAATTGATTATTTAAAAATTGAATTTATAATCTTATTCATTCTTTTTGCATTAGTCCTTATCATTAAAAATGTGTTGATTTTACATATATAACATTCAAATCATTAATTTCACTGAGTTTTGTTTTAATCTTAACTTTATAACATAAAATATTTTCGATTCATAATTTAAAACTTATTATAAAAGTAATAGAAATTCAATAATATTTATTTTTAAAAAAGAAATGGAATGGAAGAACGATTTGTACGATTTGTTAACCTCATCAAAAGATGTGGATTAATCAATATACAAGGTGACAATTGAGATGTTGAGAAAAGAAAACATTTCAGACTGTTTAATATTTCTATCAGAGGAAGAAAATCTAATACGTTGTTTATAGTCCATTTTAAAAGCAATAATTAGTAAA